GAAGTGGTGGGGAAGATAATCTAGTGTTTAGGGGCATCATCTCTGCTAATATGAAAAACTAACAGAGGGAGAGAGATGAGTACATAAACTCTACTAAATAAATGCGCACACACATACACACACACACACACACACACACACACACACACACACACACACACACAAATAAAAAAAAAATAAAAAAAAAAATAAATAAAAAATATAAATACAAAAAAACAAAGAAAAAAGAAAAAAGTAGATAAATACGAAAAAAAATAAAAATAGATAAATACGAAAAAAGGTAAATAGAAAAAAAAAAAAAAAATAATAATAAAAATTAAAAGTGAATACCACTTATCAATAACAGTTAACACCTTCACATCCCCACAGACGGCAGATTATGCAACCCCCCCCCCCCCCCCCCAACATCTACGACCGCCAGAGCACGTAACCAAGTCTCTCGGCTATTCATCCACGAATGAAAAAAAAAAAAAAAAACAATAACAAAAAAATCACCCCTCTCCCTCCCCTCCCACCCCACCGAGACGAAAAAAAAGAAGAAAAAAAAGAAAAATCCCCCCCCCCCCCCCAAAGTAACATCAGTCTCCAAGCTGCCTCCTGAAAGTGTTTTTGCACCTCACGTCCGACCCAGAAAGCCATATATAGCAACAACACGCGCGCAACAAAGAAAAAAGAAAAGAAAAAGAGAGAGAGAGAAAAAAAAAAAAATAGTACGTACTGGGAGACTGAATTCGAGGGAATGGAGAGGGAGAGGGAAACTGAGAGTGAGTAAGTGAGTGAGTGAGTGAGTGAGTGTGTGTGTGTGTGTGTGTGTGAGAGAGAGAGAGAGAGAGAGAGAGAGAGAGAGAGAGAGAGAGAGAGAGAGAGAGAGAGAGAGAGAGAGAGATAGAGATAGAGTGAGAGAGAAATAGAGAGAGAGTGAGAGGGAGAGAGAGAGAGATAAAGAGAGATAGAGAGAGAGAGATAGAGAGAGAGTGAGAGAGAAATAGAGAGAGAGTGAGAGGGAGAGAGATAGATAGATAGAGAGAGAGAGAGAGAGAGAGAGAGAGAGAGAGAGAGAGAGAGAGAGAGAGAGAGAGAGAGAGAGACAGAGAGAGAGATAGATAGATAGATAGATAGAGAGAGAGAGAGAGAGAAAGAGACAGAGACAGACTAACTAAATACTGTTATATAAGATAGACACACTAAAAAGAGAGAAAGATATACAGAAAAAATCTAAGGAACAAGGAAGCCAAACTCCAACACACACCAGACATTAAAAGAAACAAACAAAAAAAAAAGACCTCCCTCAAAAATCCTCAAAAAAAAAGGAAGACATCTCGCAAGACCAACCCAATCGCCCCCCTAACCCCCCACCCCCACCCCCCACCGTGCACATCTTGGCCCCGTGATCACATCAAGGCCGCGGGAAAATATTCAAGACCAGGGCATCACGAGGCAAGGAGAACGGCTGCGATCTGTCCCGATTCTTGAATATACTTCCGTGAGAGAGAGGGAGAGAGAGAGAGAAGAGAGAGAGAGAGTGAAAGAGAGTGAAAGAGAGTGAAAGAGAGAGAGAGAGAGAGAGAGAGAGAGAGAGAGAGAGAGAGAGAGAGAGAGAGAGAAGAGAGAGAGGGGAGGAGAGAGAGAGAGAGAGAGAGAGAGAGAGAGAGAGAGAGAGAGAGAGAGAGAGAGAGAAGAGAGAGAGAGAGAGAGAGAGAGAGAGAGAGAGAGAGAGAGTGAGAGAGGGAGAGAGGGGGGGGGGGAAGGAGGAGATAGATTGACTGAAAGAGGAGAAGGGGGTAGGGAGGGGGGGAGGAAAGAGAGAAAGAGAAAGAGAGAGAGAGAGAGTGGGGAAGGGGGAGGGAGATAGATAGATAGACAATGAAAAATAAGGGGGAGAGGGAAGGAGGGAGACAGGAAAGGGAGAAATAGAAAGAGAGAAAGAGAGAGAGAGAGTGAGAGAGTGAGAGAAAAGAGAGAGAGCGAGAGAAAGAGAGAGAGAGAGAGAGAGAGAGAGAGAGAGAGAGTGAGAGTGAGAGAGAGAGAGAGAGAGAGAGAGAGAGAGAGAGAGAGAGAGAGAGAGAGAGAGAGAGAGAGAGAGAGAGAGAGAGAGAGAGAGAGGATAGGAGAGGAGAGAGAGGGAGAGGAGAGAGAGAGGGAGAGAAAGAGAAAAAAAGGAGAGAAAAGAGAGAGAAAAAAAGAGAGAAAAAGAGAAAGAGAAAAAGCAAGAGAAAGAGACAGAAAGAAAGAGAGCGAAATAAAATCAAATATAATTCAGACACACACAGGGAAGGAATGGAAGATCAGAACGGGGAGAGTAAGTGAGGGCGTGCATGTGCGTGTGTGTGTGTGTTCGTGCCCGTTAACCTTTCCTCGGCGTCATAACAATTCCAGGTGTTGCAATACTTGCAATTTGTCACCACTCCCGTTTCTTTTTTGTTTAATTCTCTTCCGTTCCTTCAAGAAAATTATTCACAAGAAAACCCAGTGGATATTAAAACCACACCAGTATGAAAATAACCAAAAAAATAAAATAAATAAAATGACCATGCAGGCTACAAGGACACGCCTCCCACTCTCACTCTCACTCGCTCACCTAAAAATATCAGCTGATTAAAAACACATGAGCCATGACGACAATTTGCTACAAATTAAAAAAAAAAGAGTAAACAGAATTATCAACAAGGGAGGTCTTTCATTAATGTAGAAAGTGATTTTGATAAGAGACGAAGGTGATGGAAGAGAAAACAGATTAACAAACGAAGAGAAACGATAGGACATACAATAAGCAAGGGAAAAAATCAGATATCCCGAAATAAACGTGAAAAAAAGAAATAATGAACAGGAAAAAGGGAAAATCTTACCAGCAATAAACAAGAAACCACACACACACACAAAAAAGAGAGAAAAAAACACACACGAAATCAACGCTAAAAGAAACTAAACCAAAGAAACCGGAAAGAAAAAAGACACACAAACTAAAAAAAAAAACCCTCCGAACTTCGACATCGCAAGTCCCGCCGCGCGACGCCCATCCCCGCCCAACCGAACACTCACCACGGATCAGCCGAATCGTCGTCATATCCCTCGAAGCCGTGGCCGCCCGCGTCACTGTCCTCTACGAAAATGAGCGGCGGTGACGAAGGCAACGAAGGCGAGGGCGGCGACGACGACGTGACCAAGTCCTCGAGGATCATGTCTAGCGGTGGCGGCGGCGGCGGCGGCGGTGGCGGTGGTGATGGCGAAACTCCCGACTCGAAAATGACACGACTGGGACTTCTGCACCGGCCACCACGCCCTGGGCGCTCTCGTCCGTCTGTCTTTATCCCCGCCCCTCGCTCCGCCTCCTCTCCCTCCTCTCCTTCTGCCCTCTTCCCTCTCCTCCTCCTCCTCCTATCCTCTCACCTCTTCCTCCTCCTCTATCCCCTATCGTCCTCTCCCCCCCCCCCGTCTCTCCCCACGCACCTTTTGAAAGAGAGCCACGCCCACGTTGGCATTGTTAATATCACGCGTAGTGGTCATAGGTCACTCAGCCGAGAAAAAAAAAATAAAATAAAAAAAAATAAAAATAAATAAACATTAAAAGCGCTTCAACTTGGTTCTTTCATTTTTTTATTCAAGTTAGGATGACGCGGCGGCTGTGAATGATACCGTAAATAATACTCTTTATTGAGTCTAATAAAAAAACAACAACTTTTATATAAAAAAAAAACATTTACACCATACGTGATTCGCATCAACTATTAGAGTATACACAAATACCCACAACCAAAGAAAGAGAAAAAAAGAAAGAAAAAGAAAAAAAAAATCTTTTCAATTATGCATAACCTTTATTACCCGATGGATAACATCTTTGCACAATTTAAGTGAAAATTAACTCCGAAAATACCAAAGGTCTTGTCCCCACGCCTGTCCTCCACCTGGCCTCCGCTCCACTAACCTTTTATTTTGTACTTCCCGCTAATGAAAACGTGTCGCAATAAAACTTCCTCAGAATAAACGTATACAAAATATAAATCAGAGCATTACAACAACGAGCTGACGAGCACAGCAGCTTCCGTGTGTACGAGATTTCTTGAGCTTCCGTGAGACGTCGAAGAGAGTAAAGAGGAGACTTAATTGGCCAGTCCTGTTCGACCCGTCAGCTGATCGATCTCCTCCAGCTGATCTTCAAAACAAAACAAAACGAAACGGACGGAAGCAACAACGACAACGAAACAAAAACCAAAAAATAAAAAAACAAAAAACAAAAATAAAGTTAAAAAAAGGGAAAATGAAAGAGAGCGGAAAAAGAAAAAAGAAAAATGATAAATGTCTGTCCGACACAGGAATGTTAAAGAAAGTCTT